GTTCACCTATTGTCCGGTTCACACTCCTCCTCAATCTTTTGAACAGGAGTAGAAGTTTATCCCTTGTTTCTTCTGAATTCTACTTCAACTCTATACTTCTAACATCTTTGCCTAAACTCTGAAAATTAAACTATTATTGTGTTTCCCGTTTCTGCTAAAGATTCTTCCTTCTCTTTCACTTCCAGTGGCCACTTGCATCTTGGTGGCATTGTCACCCTGATTGGGGTGAATTGATTAAAAAAAAAAATAAAAATAAAATAAAAATAAAGGGAGATTCAGCCATTACTTTTTTTATAATAAAGAAGTTTGAGAAGGAGACAACTATGGCTGCCTTCACCACTGATACAAAAATAAAGTTAGCAGACATATACTTAGGGAGTTCTCAATGGAAGATATGCATTTCTTAAATAGATAATTGAATTTTCCTTTATCAATTTTCCTAATTGGTATTATACAGTTTAGCTCAAAAAGTGATTTCCTTGATGGAAAAATACAAGTTCAATTTCTTCAGCAGGATTTCTCAATCTCCCAGCCAGTTGACATTAATTTCACTCTTAAAATAAGAGGGATGTCAACACAAAATGTGATTACCTACGAAATATAACATTTATATTAATATGAAATGATGTTGGATTAAAAAGAAAAAAAAAACATTAATTGTTTAAACATTGTTTTGGATATGAAAATAATGTTAGCAGATAAAAACTTCTAAGTGTTCCAACAAGAGATGTGCATTTCTTAAGTATTAAGTTGTTACATAAATTTGTTTGTTTTTTATCATTTATTTTAATACTTATTATTTAATAGTTCTGATAAATCATTCAACAATATATTCCCCTTTATTGTTTACGACTTCCTGCCAATGACTTACTGTTCACTGCCTCGATGATAAAAAATCACTAGGTTTTTACTCGAAAAATTCATCAAACCACATTTTAAGCTCTACTTTGTTGTTGAATAAAATACCCCTCAAATTAAAGCAACTGAAAATGGTGATAGTTTGAAAGGGCTAAATTAAAAGAATATGGTGAGTGTGGCAGAACTTCTCAACCAAGCTCTTAACTTCATGTTTAGTCACATTAACGATGTGGCAGTTAGCATTGTCATTTTGAATAATCTCACTGTATTGTCAGTTAGATCTTTTCAGCTGAATTGACTCTTTGAGCCTCTTCATTTGTTCAAAATACAGCTTAGAATTGACCATTTGGTTGTTTTGAAGCATTTTATCTCTGTACACAGTACAAATGTCTTGAGCTGCTTTAACAGTTTTGTGACCTTGATTAAATACAAACAGGAGAAAATGCGAGCATGCTCATCTTTGCCTACATTGAATTCCATCTCAAAGGTGCCTAATCTGAAATAAAATTTCAATAAAGCTAGATAATAGTTTCATAAGATGACCAAAGTTACTAAGAAGCAAAAAAATGCTATGAAAGATTATTCTTTGAGATCATTCACAGAATATCAGGAAAAACAAACGAATATATGTAACAACCTAATAGGTAATTGAACCTTTCTTTATCAAAATGATTTCTTGTGGTTTACATATGTGTGTATTTGTCCTTTTGACTGTACAATGAATACTGACTATATAATAGCCTCTTTAATTACAAATGGCAGAATTTTTTTTCTATTTTCAAGGAAAATAATTCTAAATCATTTCACCTCACACATGCAATTTAAAACAGATCTTCTCAGACTTGATTAAAATCTTAAAAGACTTTAATAGTAAAAAAAATTATTTAAGTCAACAGACAAAAATGTTCTGAGGTGGATTCTTTTAACAAAGATTTAAAGAAAAGCTTCTACAATATGACACGATCTGAAATAACTTTTAAGATGAAAACTATTTAAAATTTTCTCAAATCAGTGTTACGAGAGGAACAGCTTCCTAAAGTAAACACTGCTTGACCCATGGATTGAACTTGCAACCACTATATCACAAAACTCACAAACTAACACTTTTACCCACTAGGCCATTGTTCCTGGGTCGGGCAGTGTGTACTTGAACTGAGTGGAAACGGGCAAGCAATAACTGAACAGTACTAAATAAAATAAGATGATCTCCCTAGACATTTGCAGTGTAAATTAAATAAAGAGTTGAGTTCAGAATTTCCTGTAGGTTACACAGATTGATATACACTTGAGGAAGGTTGTGATAAAAACAAAAAAGATTAGGACAATAGTCCAAATATAAATAATGATAACTCTTCATCCCAGAAATTCTGATAAAATACAATTAGTAAAATTGGTAAGGTACTTCAGATTGGTAAAATATTCACAAAACTAACACTGGTTAAATGTATCAATGTTCTTTATAATGTTATTGTTGTTAAATTAGGGTGTATCAAAAGTATTTTTTTTTTATTTTTTAGCCTCCTCTGTTTTTTTTTAAGATTATGTAATGCTCTACGTATATCTTTCAATGATGCTAGATTTTCTGCCTTTTCTGCAGGTAGTTGGGTTGTCCTTTACCATCAATTTCAAAAAAACATAAACAAGAAATAATTGTTATGCACTTTTCAGCTTTATTTTGATGGACCATTCCCCAACCTTAAAATTCTTAAACTCTGGGTTGTATGATGTAATATTACGTCATTTATTTCAATTTTACAAATTCTGTGAGATGCTTGGAGGTCTAGTTTAAAATAATCCCTCAAAATTGCCTAGAGTTTCAGAATTTCAATTCAGTGGCATTATAACATCTGAAAAAAATATTCAGCTAACTTGCATTAGTAATAACATATAATCGAAATACAATGTATTAAATATATATATATATATATATATATATATATATATATATATATATATATATATATATATATAATTGAAATTAGTGTATTATATATATATATATATATATATATATATAATTGAAATTCAGTGTATTATATATATATATATATATATATATATTGAAATTCAGTGTATTATATATATATATATATATATATATATATATATATATATAATTGAAATTCAGTGTATTATATATATATAATTGAAATTCAGTGTATTATATATATATATATTGAAATTCAGTGTATATATATATATATATATATATATATATATAATTGAAATTCAGTGTATTATATATATATATATATATATATATATATATATATAATTGAAATTCAGTGTATTATATATATATAATTGAAATTCAGTGTATTATATATATATATATAATTGAAATTCAGTGTATTATATATATATATATATATGTGCATGCATGTATGTAAAGTGGATACTGAAGTCTACACTGAGTGATGACAGCCTGTTTCATGCTTGAACACAATCTTCAGGCAAGATTGTGTTCAAACATGTAACAGGTTGTCGCTGCTCTGTGTTGACCTCAGTGTCCACTTTCATGTTTTATATTTACAACTATTCTATCCTAGATATTGGGTACTTTTACCCATAAATATAGCATAAAGGAGTAAAATATTCTTTAGCATAGTTATTCCAAACATTACCTGAGGATGTCACCCAGTAGCTAGGGTTTAATACTGAAATTAAACCTGAATCCTGCTGACCAGTTTCAAAACATAGTAATTTCTGTGTCATGATAGAATCATATTTTTAAAAATCTAATTATAATATATAATGTATGCATTTTGTCAAACAAGACTGAAAAATTACTTCAGTTTTTTTTTTATTATAATTTTCTTGTATGCTAACAAGTATTTCTTTTCTGGAGTTAATGAATATAGAAATTGTCCAAATGTTTGTTGATTCCAATACATATCTCCTACTGTAAAAAGTGAACGATACTCTTATTATAAAAAAACCTAAAAAAAACAAGAAATCAACCCATAATATCATTATGAATACAGCCACAGTTTTCTGGCCATAAGAATATGTCTATTTTCAGCAACTTTCTACAATAACACTTGCACACCATTTTATTATAATAGTACAAGGTATAGCAGAAATGCCTTCCACATAATGGTAAGACATTAGTGCTAATGGTGTCTTCATCTAGCTAATGTCTTACAATTATATGAAAGTGTTGTAGTAGTTTTAACAGTGGAGGCTTGTATTTCAATAAGTCGGTCCTAAATTAGGTTCAACGTACAAAACGTTAGGAACTTGGAAATAAGAGTTAATGACGCAGCAATCTAGTTGTGATGGTTGGTACTTCAATGTCTGATATCGACTGACTCGCTCAACACCACTGAGCCCAACTGGCGACCACTACTACTACTTATTATGTGTGGGAGAGTCTATTAGTAATAGAATAGGTACGTCCGGCATAACAGAAAGGTATATTTGGGGCATATTTCTGCCACACCCTGTATTATTGTATTTTATCCAGCATAACAAAATTCTGTTCCTACTATATCACCAGAAGAGTTCTCTGCATAAAGATGTGTGAAATGCTAATCTTTTTGGACTGGTAATGGTAAGACATTCTTTGCAATGGTGTCTTCATCTAGCTAGTGTCTTACCATTATGTGGGAGGTATTTCTGGGAGATATATGTGGAGGGGATTATTTCTGCAACACTCTGTATAACAAAAATCCTTGAAATTTTGATTAGCTAAAAGTGCTTGGAATTGAACAAACATTTGGATGATTGTTAAATCCAGAAATGAAAACACTTGTTTGAATACAAGAAAAATATAATAAAAAAAAATTCCTGGTTTATCATATTTAACAAGACCTGTATAAAAGAGTTGCTGTCCAAATACACAACTATAGTGTAATAATAGTCTTTAGATGTGTATATAATATAATAATTAGAATAAAAAATAAAATACTTTTGATACATCTGACATTATTTAGAAATAAATTAAAACTTAATCGTTCACAATCAACTTCTTTTCAATATAACAGGAATTGTTATAAAAGTTTAATTTGAAGATTGTGTTTTCTTTTATTATAAAAATTTAAAAAAACAACAAACTAACATTTAAAATGCAAATTTGATTCTTTTAGGTGCTATTTAATAACTCTAATTTTTGTGTAGGTGTGGACAGGTCAGAAATGACTATGGAAGAACATTTTGAACAGACAACTCGTGATGAAAGGAAACCTGTTGCCGAACCTTTAATGCTGGAGGAAGACTCTGCTTCCACTGAGCCAGCTCTGATGTCATCATCCCAGTCTCGAGATAACAACACTTATTCAAGTATCAGCAGTTCCGATTTTGGAGAACAGGTTGCTTCTCTCCAATCCCAACAACTTACCACTCAAGAAGTGCTTTCGGAAGAGCAGGCACTAACGGAAGAGGATTTCCAACGTATGATGTCCAGCTATGAAAATGTTTACGATGGTGTCCAATTAACACCCGACGTCAACAGGTTGTCAATGAATGCAAGTGAACTAGACATTGGCGATCACTTTGATACAAAACAGCTTGATACGCATCTTCAACCAACAGGACGTTCTTCAAGCTTTGAACAACTTTATCAAGAGGAAACTGGTGAGAGGCCTACGGAAGAAAAGCTAGCAGAGCTAAGCACTTACCCAGTAAAACCTAAAGAAGGTGAGTTTAATCAGCAGACCATGACAGCCAGCTCATGTCTGTCCAGCTCTTCCTTGGTCAGCAAGGAACAGTCGGCCGGTGAAAAAGGGTTAAATGAAAAACAGCATAAAAGGTCAGTTAGATTCAGATCTGACCACAGTCCAGTACACATAACAGTCGAGTCTGGGCTTGATACTTTAGGCTGTGATGACCAGTTAGGCAGGACTCAAGATCCACCTCATGTTGAAACTTGGGAACGAACCTATTCTTGGGACCCTGACTGGGACCAAACAAGGTGCCGCACTCGGACATATTCCACTCCTGGGAAAACGTCTAATTGGGTCATGTCGCCAATTTATCAAGAGAAAGGTATCGCTTTGTGCTAAGTCAATTATGAAACTATTTAATCCCTTTTTCCTTGTTGCTTGCACCTGTCCTCCCAAGCATTTCATGGCCTGCTTGATTCAGTACAACTGAATTTTTATCGTATTGTTGATATACAAATAAAGTAACTCATTAATCACTTGTCTATCCACCCGCATTTCCTGTTCAGATATTTGTGAGGCCCCATGATAGAATATGAACAATACTTTTATGAGCAAACTGTAAGCTTACAAATAAGATCAAACTATTGTTTTTCATAAAAATGATAAATAAAATATCCTAATCAGATTAATCCTTTTCAGATGGACTGGCTAAATGCACAGTTGCACAGCTAGAATGTGTACCACATGAGACAGACCTTGAGGGTGCAGCCTCTACCCCAACCCCCACAAAAATAAAACATATTTCACAATTACCCCTTCTTACACACACACACATATATATATATATATATATATATATATATATATAGGAAAGAACAATGAGATTAATAATTCAGTTCTTAGTATTTATTTTTATTTTTAAAAAACAGTGCTCAGTACAACACTAGAGCATAATATTATAACTGTTTTTTTTTTTTAAATATGTTATCATCACAACACCAAAATTTCCCTGTTTTAAAACTGAAACTTCAATTTAAATTCAGTCATACAAATTAAACTTAAAATACAGAGGTCTGTTCCATTATCAACCGATGCTAAGAATAACTTTTTAGAAATTCTAGCATTGCTTGATAATGGAATGGATCTCTGTATTTTAAGTTTTGTTTGTATGTTTGAAGTTGCGATGATTATATATTTAAAAAAAAAAACAATTATTTTATATATATATATATATATATATATATATAAAAGACTCTTCTATTGTTTTTGACATCTAAGGGTCAAGCATCTTGGTTCTTAGAACCAACAGCCAGACTATCCACAATAGTGGTAAAGTTTTGCACAGAACCAATCACACTTTTTGGAAGAGGCGAATACAGAGACCTAGTGCACATTATGCCACAAGGTCCCCAAATGACTCAACAGGTTTTGAATTCAGAGTTGTCCTTCTCCTAGACTGGTTGCCATCCAAGGCTATAGGACACAATCTGACCTGCTACTTACCCATAGCTGTGGAGTGGGGAGATGGATTTCATACCTTTCCCAATGGTATTAGCATGTAAGTGAATCTAATGAACTAACTGGAATTAGAACTCAGCTCTCCAATTCCTCAATCAAAGCCTGCTATCCATTATTCCACCATGCCTACATACATACATACATACATACACACACACAAAAACACACATATATATTATATAAAAGTATATATTGTTATCTATCAATAACAATATTGGGGGGAAAAATGTATGATGAAGTGGAAAAAGTTTTCTTATGATGCATGTTATTCTTTAGGACTTAATTGGACTAAATTTGTTATGTTGGTGTAACTACATGTGTGCATGAATGAGGGATGCTGGGAAAAAGAAAAATTAATTTAAAATTCCTAGCATCCCTTGTTCATGCACATGTGTAGTTATACTAACATAACAAATTTAGTCTAAAGAAGCTCTAAAGAATGAAACATGTTACAAGAAAAGTTTTTTCACATTGTCATACATTATATATATATATATATATATATACACACACACACACACACACACACACACACATATTAACTAGTTTGTGTATCTTTATACTAATATACTAGTATTATTTAAATACACACCAAACAAACTTTAAAAGAGTAGCAGTTAAACAAAAAATCAACGTATTGTGGGTGGGGGACATAAAAAATGTAAAAAAATTAGGATCATCTTTATTTCTAAATTAAAAACTACAACTTTCTACAAACTTTTATTGCTTTTTTTTTTTACGGGCTTATACAGCAGACCCCAAAGTGCTGCCCGGAAAAAGTGTCACCTGAACCCTCTCCCCACATGCCCCTCTCTAATTAGACTATTGTAAACACGTATATTTGTCTACAACTTAGTCTAATAATGCCAATCGGTCTGAGGAGGCTAAACATGGCTGACTCAGCTTGAGCACCGTAATGGTTTCTCTGTAGTGGTGACATGCTTCAAAATTGTTAATTTTATGATTTTTTTCATCAATAGATATCATGACAACCAAGCATAGATTTATGAATTGTTAGGTGGCCTTTTAGGGTGTTCTTGACCCTGATGAATAGTTTGTAGACTAGTGATGACTAGGATTTTATCAGCACTGGTAGTAAACCAATTATATACTGTTGATGGCAGTAGATACTGTTATATATTATAACTTTCTTGATAAGTTAATAACATTAGTTGTTTCCATATAAGCAAACATTTGGCATTCATTGACCGAGCAGCCAGTGCTACCAACAGTTGACATTTTTGTAATCTTTCTCTTAAAAACAATTTTTCAAGAAAATAGGTTTCTCAAGTTCAGTAACTGTTATTGCTCTTTTCAGTATTGAAGGGAGTTTCCTTCCTAACCTGTTGTTTGAAGTTGTGTGGAAATTGGAAAAAATACTTAAATAATACAGTATCAAGCAATTCTTCTAACAATATTTGGTATGTGTGTTTATATATAATACACACACATACAATATAAAAAAAGATAATGAAAAAGACAGTGAAACTGAGGAAGAAATTACAATCTATACATGGAGGAGAAACTACAAATTACAGAATGTAAGAACATGAATAATCTAATAAATAAAAGGAATCAAATTATTTTGAATGCTGATGTATTTCTTAAAAATTATGAAAGGATCAATTACAAAACAGCCACCCATTTTTAAAAATCACTAAGCATGTAATAGTGTTGTAAATGGGCTTATAAGTCAGAAATGTTATTTTTTATGTGTATTAAAAAGCTTTGTTAAAAGTATTTAAAATAGGGCACTCTTTTTATTTATATATACACACACACATATATATATATATATATATATATATATATATATATATATACAGATAATATGTAATATAAAATAAGGTATAATGACATTAACTTGGCATGTAGATAATGGTTAGCAATGTTAATCTGGTTGACCACAACTCTTGATTTTGATCTATGCAGGGTGTCCCATAAAAAATTCAACATTAAATAAGCTGACAAAGGTTGATATGTAAAATCAATCAACCTTACCTTATCAAAGAGGTTAATTTGTGTGGGTAGCTCACAAATTAAATATAAATTTGAGTTTGCCAAAAGTGATTAAATTTAGAAATAAATTCCATCTGGAAAGGATTAAAGTGATTTTGATAAAATGGTGTTTACATTTTCCAAAAAGTAAGGACTTTGCAAATTCCCAGTTTGGAAAAACCGGTCCGTAATTCATTATGCTGATCTATAAACCAGATGTATAAAGAAATATCACTGTGTACTAATTAAAGATTGGAGTTTTACTCTTAAGTTCTAATGTTATATAATCAGTGATTAATTTAAAACCTGTAAAAATGTCCATTTTCATTAACTTTACTGGGGGTTGGTAAATTTCAGAGCATATTTTAAAATATACTTTTCTATGTTTATCATTTGATAAAATTATAAGTTCAGTATCATGTCTTCACTGAATAAAGGCAAGATTATTTTTTGTAAAGTTTCCGCGTATGGACTAAAATTTGCCATCCTTCAGCAAAGTTAATGAAAATGGGTATTTTTACAGGTGCTGAATTAATCACTGATTATATAAAATCTGAACATGAGTTAACGTGATAAAATGCAGAAATTACCAATCTGTCATACTTGCCACATAATTGGATTTTTCATATAAACCCTTCTTACTCTGAAGAAACACACACACACACACATATATATATATATATATATATATATATATATATATATATATATATATATATGCTAATCTATAAAGCTGCATCCTTATGCTAATCACAGATGGGCAGTTCATACAATATTCATCCTTTGCCTTGATTAGTGTAAAATGTAACAAAATTTAACTGAGAATATGAAAAAAAATTTTTTTAAATATTCAATAAAAAAAACATTAGTTTCAATGATAGATAATTCTTTTTTAAACAGATTCAAATTCTTAATGGAATTTTAAATCTCATAAAGATTTTCAGAATTTCTGTAAAATCTTTAAAGTTTTGAGAAATTGTGTTATAATTAATGATACAAATAAATTTTGTTACAAGTCACATTCTTGTCATCATTTGCGGTCCTTAAAGTAGGTTTCATGTTGCATATTGATCACTTTGATTATCAATTCAACTCTCATTCTATTAAAAAATTTTAGATTATCGTTTTGACTGCCCTTTTTTGTTAGTATTATAATGTTCAATGTTATCTTTCTATTTATTTACTAAAACAATCTTATAATACTTCTATGAAATTCTATTCTAAATGTTTAATTTTCCTAAAACAATTTCTTTATTTTTGTTGCTAATTTTTCAGTAAGAGGGCTTAACATTATATTGACTTTATTCCAGTTCTTTAATTCCATGCCCTTTTATTTAAACCATAAAGATCTTAAAGTGTCTTCTTGTTTTAGCTAATTTTTTTAACTTCAATTTAAAGTGAAATGCAATTTACAGATTAAAAATGTTTTTGCTTATCTTCAAACACTGACATGAATTTTCAATCTTTTTAATTTTTTTATGAAACTAAAATTCTTGTGTTTTGTTAAAACTAATTTCCTATTATTCCTTTTTAAATGAATGTATCAAATTGTAATTTAAATTATGCTAACTTTGCTTTTTTTTAGTCGAGACAGTGCATTGTCACCAGAGGTGTTGACTTAAGCTACCCTTAAAATGTACTAGCTTAAATAATGCAAAATAAAATTTGATTAAAGTACAACTGAATGCAGCTTGAAATTATAATGGTTTTTCTAGAGAAATGACAACTAAATGTGAATTCCTTGTCTACTTATAGACATATAATTAGAAAGGAAATTGCTCCCCTTGTGTATATAATATAGGGATGATTGCATAAACTACCAAGTAGCTTCTATGGTAACTTTCAAAGCATAACTCAAGGGCCGCATAGTAATAAGTGAATTAGATAATGTGGTCAGATAATACTGTAATGATGATATGGGACAAGCACCAAATATAACATTATTATATATCCAATATATATATATATATATATATATATATATATATATATATATATTAAATATAATATCTTAAGTTGGTATGAATAAAAAATATAAATATTAAAAATGTGAGTAAATAATATTTGAATGGCCCTTTTGAAAAAATTGTAATTGAAATTTATATAGAAATAAAAATTAGATAAAAAATAAAAATACCAAATGTATTGCTATTGAAACCCAGACGATGTGTTGGAACATAGACACTACCACAAATTTCTACTTGGAAAAAGGAAGTTTGTATCAATAGACAGATATCCAAGGCTCCACCTTCACTTGACTAACTTGAAAGGTACAATACATTAGATACATAAGATTTAACTTAGAAAACTCAACACCCCTAAAATAAAGAAGATGGAATTTACTTTAACCCCATCATCTCAAAATATCAAATTTGCCTGTATTTATAAATTAACTAAACCAGTTCCTAAAAAGTTATTCTTAGCATCACTTGATAATTGAATGGAACTTTGTATTTTAACTTTACTTTTTGAATTAATATCTTGTGTTTTTATAAAAATACACTGTGTATTTTTTTTAAAACGTAAGATATACTTTGTGCCCGATGAGCTGGAAAACCAGTAGCACACCAAAATGTAGTAGGTATATGTATATTTATTAATATAATATATATATATATATATATATATATATAAATAATTAATGGATTTTATTTTTAATCCATCATTTTATTACTTTAAACCTTAATTTTGGTGGATATCTATATTTGATATAGACACACCCATTTTTTTAAATTTTTGAACAGTGCGTAGTATGTCTATTGGCTTGTGCATCTGAGAAAACTTAATAAAGAAAGTGTGTTCTCTAGCAGGTTTTGAACCTGCATCTCCCTTTGTAGGAGAAACCACTGTTTGATCAGGTATACTTTAAATCACTCAATCGAAAAGGCAAATAGAACCTTCCTGAGCTGTGACTGGGCAGTATAAAGCATGCTGAATCAAGTGGTGGTTTCTCCTACAAACCCTGCCAGAGAGCACATTTTCTTTCATAAATTTTGCTTGGCTGCACTTGCTGATAGATCTGTTACACACTGTTTAAAAAAGAAAAATAGGTGTCCACTAAAAATAAACTTTGAAGTAATAAGTGTGTGTGTGTAATGGTTTCTACCCACTAATCTGTAGTTTCATTTACGAAAAGTCATCTTCAGAAATGAGTCATAAGTTTTTCTGAACAATAGTCCCAAACTACAAGTGGAGTGCTATTGCTAATTCAAATTTCCCCAAGAAAGTTTGTAAATTGTCATCTTTAAGGGGAATGGTGAAAGTTATTGATTTAAGAGGAAAGACAAAAATAAAATTAAAATGGAAGACTGTTTAGGTCAACAGTAAGAAAAAAAAAAGTCTTTGACTCATTACATAATTTTTTTTTTTTATTAAATATTACAGTTATTCTGGGCACTTTGACCTGGTATAATGGTGGCTAGATAAATTACAACTGAATAGTCAATTTGATCTACATTAGGTGCCCTATACTTTTGGTCTTGTGCCATATCTAAGTTACGCTTAATAAATTATTATATTACAGTTCTATTTTTTTTCTATTTCATTATTAAACATTTAGGTATGTATGTATTTATGTATATATAAAAAAAAAAAAACTTATTTTATATAGGGATCAACATTTTTCTGGGATTTCAAGCATCCACTTGGAGTCTTGAAACACATTCCTTGTAGATAAGGTGGAACTAATTTGTATCACTGAATTTTAAAACTAAATGCTGGAATTAACTATAAGCTATAGTATAGGGCCTCATTATTTTAAATATATATTTATTTTATCATTAGTTTTATTCTTTAATGCTAAATCATCAAAAATTATAAATTATAATCTTTAATTAATGATACGGTATAATTTAAAGTTTTTAGAGAATGGCCTCGAATTTCATATAGATTAGGGCCTCAGCAGGTAGAAGTCTGGCCTTGAAAACTATCTCAAAATCTTATATAAAAGAGAAATCCTGTTTTTGGGATGTTTTTAATATTGTATTTCAATTATTTATTATCTATATATATATATATATTATTTTTCTGTTTAATTGAGTAGATTGTTCCGTGTCGTTCAACATTTGCAGTTGGGGGGAGGATACTAAGCAAACTGATTTCCATAAAACTTGTGGCTTTTCCGTGTAGATAGTCAATATTGATATTTCTATTTGTATCAGATCTCCCTTCTGGTGAACAGATTGTCTCCAAAGAAGTAATGGCTGCCGATGAGGAGAAAGCTGAGAAACTAAGCTCTTCCAGCTCTGAAGTAGCTCAAGTTGAAGATGTAGATTTTCAACCAGGTAGCTGCAGAACCACTGAAGCATGATATCACATATTCAATATTCTTTGCCTTATAAGCATTTTATATCAATATTCGTGTGCGCCTTACATACATACATACAAATATATATATATATATATAGTTGATTTTGTTTCATCCAACAGACACGCCTGATTTATACTATTTTTTGGGTATTCTTTGTTGATTGTAAGTCTAATGAATTATTTCCTGTGCATATCCAAGAGGTCTCTCTTTGTCTCACACATTTGCATAGTCTTGTGAGTACCTTTTTTGTCATGTGCAGTGATTTTATAAATAACAAAGGAACGCTACAGAGAAAGCAATTAGTTTTGTATAAAAACAAGAAAAGTTTTCAGTTGGGTAACAATAAAGATACATCACTAAGCTTTTTTTTTCTCTTTTTTTTTTTTTTTTTTAAAAATCATTAGACTTTAATACAGGACTGAATACTCAAAAAGATTACTTGGGGAGGAGATTGAAATGAAGTAATATATATAATGTATGTATGTATGTATATATATATATATTGCTCTTTTTTTTTAATTTAATATTTCTCTTTCTTATATCCATATGTTAGCTAAAAGTGGTTATCTGGCCTAAGTGTTTTATTTATTTATTTATTTATTTATTTATGCTTCAAGTCAGCATTATCAATGTTAAAAAAAAAATTACACTAGGATTGTTACTTTTATTTTTCTCTTTCTCTCTCTCTCTCTTTCAGGATGTCTCTTAGGCAATGTTTTGCATGCATTTTTTTTTTTTTTTTTGTTAATAACTAAATGGGCTTTATGCTTCTGTGCTACAGTTGTCTTATTTACAGGCTGAACATTCTAGAATAATCATGAGACTTGATTATAAATTCCAGCTAAGTGCTTTGTTGATGGGATTTTTTTTTTTTCTTGAAAATAATTTGTTCTATAACTTTTTCTCTTAAAGAAACACTTTACACTTGGCTAGTTCTTGTACAAAAAAGCTATGAAAATGAACAGCTGTTAGCGGCTCTGGCAGACAGTAGTATAACTGGTTTGTGTTGAACCCTGTGTATAGTCATCCAAACATCGAACTTATTAATTTAACATATTAATTTGCTTCAAAAAAAAAAAAGCAAAAGAAAACATCAGGGGGCAATGAAACGATTTGGAAACCCCAAAGAAAAATACAACTTATTGATTGGAAAGAATATTACCTATGTGTTATATAAAGTTCAGTAAGTTACTGACCAACATGTTTTGTTAGGCATTAACAATCTGTATTATTATGTCTATAAACAGTGTGAGTATAGAGGTCAATATTGCATAGTGACTGTCCGTTTCACATCTCAAGTAACCATCAAATGTCCAGATGGTCTGATGATCACTTGAGGCATGAAACAGTCTCCATGCAGTGTTGATGTCTGTCTTCATTTTCTGTATCTGCAAATGCTCTCTCTGATAGTGAGAACAGTTCCCCCATAAATATAGCTAATTTTAAAGAATATAATTATATATATTCCATATGATTATTTTCCTCAAAAGTTGGATGTGTGGGTGATGCAATATATAGTGGCTTGGAATGAGAAATTGAAGAGCCGAGTTCAAATTCCAGATGAGTTTGTTACATTCATTTATGCACAAATACCCTTGAGAAAGGTATGAATCTATCTCTTCTCCTCCCAACTATGGGTTAAATAGTAGGACTTGTATCTGACAAAAAAAAATCATTGTTACTCTAAAAATATTTTATTGCAATATTCGCTCAAAAAGAAAAAAAGATGAATTTTCTTGCAGTCCAAAATGTTTTGGCTTTAAACAAAGGGTTGATAAGCCATAAAAAAACAAATCACTCTACTCAAGCATTGCCATGACATTGTTCATATATCATATCGGGAACATGTTTCTCTGCATTTTATTTTTATTTTCTTTACATTCAACACTTCCTTAATATTAAATTAAAGTTTTATTCAAATTTATTCTTAAAATCCAAAATATATTTTGGTGTTAAATAACTCACAAAGGATTGACAAACAAAGCAAATCAACAATCCTAAAAAGTTGCTGGAGGTGTTTTTAAAATATTACTGTTTTTAAAATAATTCTCAAAGGGTTGATAAGCCATAAAAAACAAATGAACAATCCTCAAAAGTTTATTTTTCTTCAGTGTAATTGCAGTAGATTTAATTTGCTTTGATTTGAAAACTCATTTATTTTCTGAAATTGCAGAACATTCCTTATGCTGTTTAAGGCCTTATACTTTTACTTTTTCTTGCTGGAATATTGATTAGTTGTTTTCATATGGTCAAATTTTATTAGTAAAAAAACTTTTTTTTTTCTTTTTTTTTTAATTCTTTATTTTTTTTTTTTTTCCTCAGTTGAAGTAATTATATATTGGGTATGGTTGGGGATGTGAAAAAATCTAAAAACCTTTAACTAGACTTAGAATTATTTGATGAATGTGCCTGTAAATTTTACATTTATTGCCAAGAATGCCTTTTGCTTATATTTTTAATAAATCATTTTCAATCCATTTCATGAACATTTTTTTTTTATATATATATACTACTTCCCATCAACCCAGTGTGCACTTGAAACATATTCTGATTCCCATCCAGTACTTACCTTTTAGAAAATAGCCTTCAGATAACAAAATCACTTTTTTTTTTTATAAATGTTTTATCGATATTTCTTTACGTTGACTACTTTTAGTAATGGGCACGAATTAAAGTAACAACAGGAATTCTTCCTGATAAATTTCTTTTAGGACTAAAAATCTAAATATTGCGTGCCTTTTCTCGTAACTTTACGCATTATATCTTTCTTGCAGTCTTCTTTGTGTGTGTGTGCATATGTATTTCTTTTTACTATAAATGTCATGTATGTGATTTGTATTTGAGTAAACATCTTTGCTTGCTTTTTTTTTTTTTTTTTTTTTTTAAAAAGTGAAATTAGTGTCAACCAGCATAGAAATAAAGTCTTACTAAAGAAAATATGCCTCCTAGGCCAGTAGGCATTAATTTCACTGCTTAAAAAATAACAGGGATGTCTATTCAAACACATGTACTCATTAAATATAACATTTATAGTAATAAGAAATGATGTTGGATTAAAAAAATTCCATTGTTGTGTGTGTGTGTGTGTATATATATATATATATATATATATATATATATATATATAAATATATATAAAAATAACACACAAATTACTGCAACTTAAGTTTTTATTTAAGTTTTCTTGTGTTCTTTCCTTCTTTTCTGGATGTAAATTATTATAGAAATTGTTCAAATGTTTTGTATGCCTGACTGCTTTCAACTATACTTTTAGCCATTATCATATTTGGTAAAATAGAACATTCATATAACTCTAGATACATACATAAAACAATGCATACATTTGGTTAAAAGTAAAAATAAATCAATCTTGATAAAATATTGCCAAAAGCACTCAGACATACAAAATGTTTGGATAATTCCTACATAATAGATATCTAGAAAAGAAGAAAATTATAAGAACACAAGAAAAATTAAATAAAAACTTAACAGCAGTACCTTGTCAGTCATTTTTAATGAAACTTGTATAAAAGAGGGATTGCTGCCCAAATACACTATTATTTATATATGTGCACATTAATTGCTATATTTTACCAGTTATAGTTCACATAAGAATTCTTTTTTACAACATCCTTTTATAATTTATTTTACTAATCTATACTTATCTTTGCATGATCTTTAAAATCTTTATTTCATATGTCAGGCAAGAAATATATGGATTTTATTGAATGATCAAAAAAAGAAATCCCAACACTTAACAAGCCCGAACCTCAAATTCAGTTTTAAAATCTGCATGTCCTGAAACAAGAAATCTCCAATTAAATTTAAGTCGCTTAGGAAAGTTAATGTGTTTTTGATACACTCATCTAATACGATGTAACAAACCCACTCACCTTCCTGGAACTACTAAACTGCTTTTGTGTATCTTTCCCCTATTTGTTCTTCATTCTCTTCCGCGTCAGTTTGATGATGGCTGTCTACTAACACACTAATATCAAACTAATTTCTGTAGATGCTGAGATGCGTGACACCAGTGAAGAAAAGACAGAAGAGACGGATGTGGAGGAGCAGTTCTCTCCCCTTCCTAAAACTTCTCCTGCTTCTAAAGGTGCTCTTGATCTTAGGTTAGAAGACCAGTACTTCTCATTTACTCAGTCCCCAGTAGAATCCCCTGCTGCTGAAATTGCAAACGAGATATCTCCAGCGCAAGATCTTCTTGACGTCAAAGATATGCAAATAACTGTTGGCGTTTCACCATCAGAAATTTCTGCACGAGCCAAACTTGGGCATGTTTCTGAATTTTTTGGGCCAACAGTTAGTGATGACACCAGACCTACAAAGGGGAAGTATGAAAAAGAGAAGGAAGATGTTCTGTACACTTCAAAAGTTGAAACGGAAGCTAAGAAAATGGAGACTGATATTAATGAAGTTGCAAAAACAAGTTCTGAAAGCTACAAGGCAGCAGCTGCCCCGAAGGATGACAAAGAAACTCCTGAAGATATGGCAGAACAGCTAACTTATATGGCTTTCGATAATATGGGTTTTGCAGGTGAGGAAGCTGTTGACAGTGAACTGAAATTGAGGTCATGTGATATACCAGAAGAGAGTCCACATTCAAAAAGCAAAGAAATATCCCCTGAGGATCTTGAAGAGAAACCACATCATTTTGATTTTCCAGATGTTCAGCAAGAAATGTGGCAAATTGGAATACAAGCATTTGGAAAGTCAGCGCTGTCGGAAGAGAGGAAGATGTTCTCAAGTTCTATGAAGTTTGAAGAAGTCACTCACAAAGTTTCTTTTGAAAAAGATGACGAGGATGAAAGCAGCACAGCTGTCTATTCGGAGAGTGAAGAACCCTCGCAGTCAGAAAATGGGGATCTTAAGAGCCAGAGTTCTTTCCAGGAATCTGTTGAGATTTCCAAAACTGTCGATGGACATTTCGAGTCCACTTCGGAAGTAAGGACTGAAAAGACTATTGTCACATCGTCAAAAGAGCAAGTGTCTCTTTCTGAAAGCCACAGCAAAATGTACTCTGAAACAAAAGTCTACCACCACAAGACTGGTGCTGAATCAGAACTTCAACATTCTGAGATACAGACAGTACCCTTTTCTGATGAAGAGAAAAAGAGACCTCTCTCGACCGTTGTGAGCGAACCAATTATTTCTCATCCTTTTGACCAAACAACTGTAGAACTGATGTCTCCAGAATATAGTAGTTCTGACAGTGAAGGATTTTATGACCCAGAAACTGGGAAAAAGCTGCCCTGGGAAACGGTTAATCATTTTAAACGTCAGTTTTCAGACAACTATTTGGAACAGCAAGAAAAGCAAGGGTTAGTAACTGTACAATCTGTGGATATGGGCATATTCTATCGTAGAAGCAGTAGAGAATATGCTGATGTTAAGTTCATGGAAAAAGGAATTGCTGAAGATGAGATCATTGAGGAACAAGAGGGACAAGTGCTTTTTACACTTGATGAAAATGATTCTGATGAATCTGCTGCCTTACCGAGCCAAGTAAAAGAAGATGAAGTTGTGGATGATTCCACAGAGGACATCAGAAAACCACATGACAAGGTGTTTGAGGAACAGAGAGCTACGGTTCTACCAAGCAGTGCAGACAGCAGGAATCGTGCTGAGGAGGATTTATCTAAGTTACATGAAGAAATGTCACCAGAGTTTGGCGCTTCTGAGTTTTTATCTACCAGCAAGTCATCGGAATTGGTCGAACGTGGTGCCAGTAAGGATTCATCTTTGCATTTAGTTGGTGATTCTTCAACAGATTCATCTCAGAAAGAGTCCATCAAAGAGGCTGAAGAACGTAGCACTCCATCTGAGGAATTGGATATCAAGGAAGAACTCAAAGAATCCGCCAAATCTGGAATAATTGGTGTAGTAAGTGTTGAATCTCGCAGGGCTCAGAAAGAATTGCTGCAGGAGAGTGCTGATGAGACGGACCGTTCTCTATCACCATCTGTGGAGAGTGATGAGATGTCGACAATGTACGAGTGTCAAGCGGAAGTTCAAGAAGATGCTTGGTCTGAAACGCCATCTGTTGACCAGCTGCCATCTTCAGCAAGTGGGAAATCTGAAACTGAAAGTGAACCTTCAGAAAGAAAACCTTCCGAAAAGAAACAATCTCCATCAGTCGAAGCCCTTGCTAAGGGAACTGACCTCGAGTCTACGGAACAGGAAGAAAGCAAAATTACTGCCCATGACAGGAGAGTTACATTTTTGTCCGAGGAAAGTAAAGAGAAACTCAGACAGTCTCTTTCTAATGAAGACCTGGTAAAAATCTCAACATCTTCTTCTGAAGTCTCCAATGAGCCAACTCTGCTGGCTGCTTCCTATGATTTGGATTCTGGACATGTTTCCCATGTTGTCACGGCTTACGACATGTCCCCTGATACTGTGGAAAGCCAAGCACCACATCCACCTGCACCTAAAGCCATTCTTTCAAGCCCTGAAGATGATGTGTTTGAAGTAGAACCTTCTGTAAGAGTCACTGGTGCTGCTGCAGAATCACATTCTGGGCCTCAGTCTGAGGTTATCATAATTGAACATGTGTGCGCGGCTGAAAGCAAAACTGGATCAGAATCGACAGAATCATTGCCGCCAACTCCTGCTCCAACACCAAAGGACCCAACTGCAGTCAAAGACACAGTATGCAATTTACAAGATGCTGCTAACAAATTGCAGACTGAAGGCTATTATGACCGACAGTTAGGGTCTGTGAGCAGTGAGACTTCTGAAAAACGACCTTTAAGTTTTGAGAAAGAGTTAACTAAAGATGAGGATTCAATTGATGATGATGATCTTGGCCAGTCATTTGAAATGGTTTCACCAACTGAAATCATTGGCTTTGATCAGTTTGCTGCTGAATATTTACAAAGCGGTGTGGCTGGGTCCATTGAACCAGGAAGTATGGCTGCTTCAATGGAATCTATTTCTACATCTGGAAGTAGCTTTGCAGATTTAAGGCCAAGTGAGCCTTCGAGTATGAAATCCAGTTTAGAAGAATCAGTCACCACAGCAGCCTTCATTGAACCCTCAGCTCCACCTATGGAAGATGTGTACCAGTCTACTGGTAGACAATCGTCCAAACCTGATGTTGATTCTTCGTCAGACCAGTCTCTTTTCAGTAGTAGTGAAACTTCAGAAAAGGGCGGAGTGCCAGTTGACATCCTGGCCTCTAGTCTTACTTCTCCAGGAGCATGTCCTCCTGACCTGTTACCTGTTGACAGCATTCATCATGGTTTACCAACACGCCATGAATATGGAGAAACGGAAGAACAAGAAAGCTACTCAGAGAGGATATCACAGTTACCCAACGGTCCAACCGAAGTGGATTACCAACCAGACATTGATTCTGTTTCCTCTCTTGCGAATACTGTAGTTCATGTTGCACCACCAGATTTAGTTCAGACGACACCTTTGTACACACGAGATCAGAGCCAAGAAGGTGAAGAGGCCGAAATTGAAGATGACAGAATTTCAGTTGGCTCTGATGCTGCTTCAAGGGATGTGATGACTGATAGCTTGATTGAAGATGTCCATCTCTCAGCAGAACAGCAGGAAATCTTGGTTACTTCTGACCAGACATTGTATGAACTTGAAATGCCGATGGACGAAGAGGTCTCCCCAGTCGAACAAGAGTGTGCGCCTGGTGAAACGGAAACCTATTTTGAACAAAAACCAACAATTTCGAAGGAAATGAAACATGAGGAGGAGGAGGAACTTGATGGCAGAGTTCGGGATTCAGCCAAGGCTATTGATAAACAGATCTATGATGACATGTCCCTGTCATCACCTGAGCATCTGGAGATTGAAAGCTCCTTAGATGACATTGAAGATCAGCCTTACGAACTGAAGAAAAATGAAATCTACCCTGGAAAAAGAGCACTTGAATTCAACATAGCTAACTATGAGAATCTTGTAGAGGAAGAGAAGGCTAAACAGGAAGAGCTAGATTCTAAAGTAACTGTAATGGTTCCTCTTCATTTTTCTTCAAAACTTGAGTCCACTGCTTCTGACGTAGATGATAGCGATGAAGAACCTGTGCAGTTTGCTGATCAATACCATACAGCCGATATAGATTCCTCCAAATATGTTTCTCAACAAGAATATGGTACTTCTTTTAACCGGATTGATATTATTGAAGATAGTCCAGATTTTGCAGAAAAGCCAGAAGCAGAATTGCAAGCTTTAACTGAAGATGAGCGTATTTCAGGAAAATTCTTTGATAGTCATAAAGAAGAAAGCATTGAGACGAAAGAGAAACCTTTTGATTTGCAAATTGACCCAGCTGACCTTGAAAGGCCAATATCTCCTACACCTCAGGATTTAAATCAAGGTTTCTTTGGAAAGGACTTTGAAAAAGTTGCTGGAACACAAGATGAAGACCTAGAAAAGACAGCAACTGTTTTTGTTGATTCAGTACTTGAGGATATAGTGACTAAAGTCCATGACAAACCCGGCTCTCTGGAATTAGGTCAGAAGTCTAAAGATAGGGACGCCTTTCAATCTTCTCTTCCTGAACCCTCTACATCCTCGCACTCTCAACCAGCTTTCTTCTCTGCTCCTCCCCCTCCATCTCATCCTCCTCCTGTGGCAAAGCAAGGGTCAGAAGATTTGCCTGAGATTACTGTTACTGAGCACATACATAAAGACATCCATGAGGATGATTATCCCATGCATTATAAGGCATCAGTTGAAGTGGAGAAAGATGATGACAAGGAATCGGAAGATGACAGTCCAAAGGGTGTTGGAATGTCATACTTTGAAATGATTCAGGACGAAATGGAGTTTGATCAAGAGGATGCTAAGCAGAATGGTGACACCACTCATCAGGATGCATCAAGCATGTATGGCTTTTCTGAAACTTCAAGAAATGGTGCCAGTCATCAAGATCCCATAACTGGTGCTAGTTTTTCATCTGTATCAGCTTATACTGATGATCAAGCAGCTTCTAGTTCAGCTGAAATATTCACTAGTCAACAAGAAACTGTATGGAATGTTCAAAAATACTCAGAGTCTTCTACCGACCTCTCACCAAAGACTTCTCCACAGCACGAATCCTTTACTATAAAATCCGACTTGGGATCCATATCAACCAGCCACTCAAGACACATTGAGAGCAGTACTGATCCTAAAGACCATTCCAAAAATGGATTTCTTGGATTTGATCCAGCAATGTATGTCACAGACATCATGAGTCCAGAAGATGTTGCAGATGCATCAAGCGTGGACAGTTTTACAACAGTTGTTGCAGCAGACCAAGAAGAAGAAGATGATGAAGACAGACTGGCTGATGTAGCTTCGATGACTTCATCAATCCACTCAGACATTTATTCAATGCACAATGAGCCAGATGAAGAAGAAGAAGAGCCTTATGACTGGCCATTGATGACAGAGGAAGATAAGTCTGGTGAATCATCTCCATGTAGTGACCGTTTTGAGATGATAGAGAAGACTGCTTTGTCAGTTATATCTGAAAAATCAGATGAAGACAGGTTTGAAATGATCGAGAAAGATGAATTAGATGGACTTTCTGATCTTCATTCAGATAAAACATCTCCTGATATGATTTCAGCCTCCCCTGGTAACCTCCCCCACTCACATCACGGTTACCCAAACATTCGGTATGCTGGCCGCATGCGAGAGAAAGAAGATGGTTCAGCTGCCTCTTCTGTCTCTTCATCGTTGCTGGAATTTGAAAGATTAGAAGGAGAAATAGGACAGTGTGGGTCATTAGGATCAAATGAAGCCCACAGCCTTCCCAGCTCTTTTGATAGTCGAAAGTTCCATTGGCGAGCAGGTGATAGGGATGATGTATCAGTTGCTTCGTCTTTGGGAGAATTTGAACGCCTTGAACGGCAGATTGCCCTCGGCGGCTCGATCGGCTCGGTTGGCTCCATGGATCGGTTTATGGCATCAGGACATGGTAGCGAGACAAATGGTTCCATGTCATCATTAGCAGAGTTTGAGAAACTTGAACAAGACTGCATTGCTGGTGGTTATTCTAGCTCAGGTGACGATCGCCGCAGTTCATCAAGCGGTCATAGTAAACGTAGCGAAAGTTCTTCTCTTGTGGAATTTGAACGTCTCGAACAAGAAATTGTTATCTCTGAAGAACTTGCTGCTGAAGCTAAAAAAATTGCATCAATCTTGGAATCGGGAGCGCTGCCTGAATATCCAGAAAGTGACAGTTTAGGAAGTTCCTACCAATCAAATGGTCACATGAGAGATTTACCGCAGATCATTGGAAGCTTTGACATTGAGCAAGATTCAATCGATGGCGAAGACATTGATAAAGATTCTCTGAGTTCAGAAGACCCTAAACAGTCAGACGCAAATCTACTTGACAAATTAGATGATGATGTTGACTCCTTGGATGGTGACAGCAAAGATGAGCTAACTTCCAGTGTCATATACGTTTCAAAGTCAGATTTGCAGGATTCAGGCGAAGCTGGTCAAACAGAGTTCGACCGTGATTCTCTAATTGGGGATGATACAGCGATGCAGTTCTCTGTTGAATCCCTGCAACTTGACCAAGATACATCATTCGATACACATAGCATGCAGAGCTCAGCTGATTCTTTGGAATTAAAAGAGAAACTTTCCAAAGATATGCAAAGCTCTGCTGATTCACTTGAACTCAAAGAGAAGATGAGTAAGGAAATGGTGGATTCAACAGATTCGCTTGAACTAAAAGAAACTGTTAAAGACCCTGAAAAATTTGAGACTGACTCCCTGGCTGACCCAGAGGATGTCATGCAGACATCGACTGATTCGCTTGACATGTTTCCAACACTGACACAACAGAACATAATGGAAGCATCATTAGAATCTGCACGCTGGAGTTTAAGCAGTTCGTATTTCTCCCATTCCTCTCAAGAAACATTAAGATCCGCAGAATCTCATAGCGATTCAGGTCATTCTCGTGATATGATGCAAGTATCAGCAGAATCATTTGATTTTGACAAAGACCGGCCCTATGATGATTCTGATGAGGAGATCGATTACAAATCAATTTCCACAAAATCTCTTTCACATTCCACTATTGATCCAGAAATTCGTATGCTCACCGAAATTTCTCATCCCAACAATCCTTTCTTAGATAACGAAGGTAATGTTAGGACAGATCTTGGATTTTCAGGATATGGAACCAAATTTGATTATTCTAAATTCGACAAAGAAGGGAATTATCGTTGGAGTACAGAATTCGATGAGAGTACGTCTAAATCCAAAAGTTATTTGAACTGGGGACCGTATCAAGAAAAAAAGAAGATTTACACAATGACTGAGTGGGAAGCTATGCGTAAAGCTAAAAAAAGACCGGCCGACACAGAATCTGAGGAGAACAATGAAGAACAAACAAGTATGCTTCCTGATAACCATTCTTCCCATTCTAACAAAGAGATCTCTTCTAACCTTTCTTCTGAGCATATAACTTCCCCTCTGAAACCTCTTCAGCCTCTCACCACCCTCGCTCTGCTTCTTCCTCTTCCTCTTCCTCTCTTCCTGCTGCTGCGACCTGCCCCGTCTCCAGCTCCACCAGTCAAACTGCTGCCAGCTCTGATCCGCTCCACCATCACAGTATGTTGGATACTACTGCCCATAAAGCCAGTAGAGGTATATCTAACTGTTAGACGTACAATCAGTGTACTGTCACAGTGCATGAACTGTAGGCTACCAATGCATGTCAGCCTGTCACCTCTGTTGTACCTCTGTTTGTTGTCATTGTCAACTAATTCAGTTGCTGTATTTTTGTTGCAGGGTCAATCTATCATCCTTATTTATGCTATATATATATATATATATATATATATATATATATATATATATATATATATAGCCAGTGCTTTAGTTTCTATATTGTATGGTGTTATATCATGAACCTTTATTTTTGTGTGTATGTTTATTTATTTATTTTTTTTTATTTTTGTCTGGATAATTTTACATTTTTTTTGCTGCATTTTAAGCCTTCACTAATTTTTTTTTCTTTTTACATGCAAGTACACCGATACACGCTCGACACTTACCTGTCTTTTTTTTTTTTGTTTAAACTCCAAGTTTTTTTTTGTGTTTATTTTTTTTTTTTTATCATTATGTATCTTTTCTCTCCAGGAATTTTTCTTTTCTAGATTTTTCAATCAGTAATCTACTGCACTTCTTCCATTTTCTGCATGTTGTATTCCCTCCTTGTATTTGAATTATATATGCACTATTATTTTATAGAATAGTCTTACATGTCTTATAGTTTTATTTCTTTTTATCACATTTATAGTCTGATATGTCTTAGTCATCTATTATTACATGATATTTGTATCTTATTATATCATAGTCTTATTTCATTGCATTATAATGTTTTATTTCATTACATTATAATTACTGACAGACACAAAAGACTTGTATGGTCTTCAAATGTCTGTGGTGGCACAATAGTTATAAACTCAGAAATTGGAATTGGTTAAGTTCAAATTCCTTTTGAGACTGCTTCTATCTTTTTTTACACTAATTCTTGTATGGAAAGCATAAATCAAATTTTTATCAACACTTTATCCTATTGCCAGTCATCTTGATTATAGTTTTATCACTGGCATGCTCTAACTGTAGACAAAGTAATCAGAGAGCAATGTGATATATTGGTAACCCACTTTTGTTATTATATAACCTGCTCAAGCAGTGGCTATAAAAATGGCTGCTAAATTTGTTATTATTGACAGATTAAGAATTGTTTTATATTATAGTCTTATGTCACAATTTATCTAAGTCATTATTATACAATGATTTTTTTTTAAAATTAATCATCTTTTTCTCAGTTTTTAACTACTGTATTTTGCATAATGATTTTATATATTATTTTATATAATGCTCTTAAATATATTTTCTTATATTACATTATAGTCTTATATTCATTTTCTACAAATTTGTTGTTGTTAATCTTATTTTAATATTCATTGATATTGAAATTTGATTTTGCTTGTGTTATTATTGTTTTTTTCTTTTCTTCCTTTCTTCTGAGTTAAATTTTATTTGTTTTTAGATTAAGTAATAATTTATTACAGATGTTTGGGTGAGTTATGTAAAAATAAATTCCTTTTTTTAATTCTTTTATTTAAAAGCCATGGCAACAAAATATGTAAATATTCCCTTCTGTTCAATCATTTTTTTTTATTTTATTTTCAAAATTTTTGTTTGGGGCATTGCAATATTTTTTTTTTTTTTTCATTTGCTATTAATATTCAATTTTAATAATAAAAAGACTGCTACAAGAAAAGAACTTTTTCTGGAAGAGTCATTAATATCTGTTAAGTGAGTTAAGTTTACATTATTTATTGAATTAGTAGAAATCTTCAAACCTCAGTTGTATTTCACAATTATTATTTGTAGGTTATTTAAGCTTTAACTATGAACTTATATTATCAATGTAAGTATATTATATGTATTGCAAATATCTACATCTGCAAGAAAAATTTCTAAAGTTCATTTTGCACTATTTTGTATTTTTTGTAACTTTCTTGTTTTGCTGGCCTACGAAGTAACATCATTGTTTAATGAGGGGAAAAAAAAAATTATTCTTTTAAATATTACAGAATCACCAGATCCAATGAACATACAAGAGGAAGCCTCTCATATGAAACCAGAAGGTGATTAAATATTTTCTAGATTTTATTTTTCTAAAAATTATTCTTAAATGCAAATTCAATTGTTTTTTTTGTTTTGTTTTTTGTAAAAATGAAAAAAACATAACACAGAAAATCTTACAGAAGCCATTTTCTTTTTGTTTTTCACTTTAAACTTTCATTATTATTATTTTTTGTTTTTGTCAATGGAGTCTGCTTTATGATCTATATAGTTGTGTATTTCTCAGCTAATACTATGAGTAAGCGTTTTACTCCCCCCACCCCTCAAAAGGGTATAATTTTGAATGGTGATTTTTAAGGCAGGCTGGCTCTTTCCACAACCTAATCTTTCTACCTTTATTTCCTATTGTTTGGTTTAACCAGAGTAAATATCAATAATTTCTGTTTGAATTTCTAGGATAAGGAGTTTTATTATTTAAAGTGCATTAAAGCATTGGTCAATGATTTTGGTGACAATTGTGGGTTCAATCTGGGTAGTACAGACTCAAACTTGGTGGAAACAGGGTAGGCAATAAGTGAGCAGTGCTTAAAAAGAAACAAAAAAAAAAAAAAAAATTTCAACAAGATGAGATATCTCAAGACATGGAGAGCGTAATGAGAACAATCTACCCCGTATATTAAATAAAGGGATTAGTTCAAAATTATTAACAAGCACCCAAAGAATACTGGAGGGCATAATACCCAAAACATTGTGATAATAACAACAAAGATGAGGACATTAGTCTGAATATCAATATTGTAAATAATGAATCATTTAGTTAGTGAGGCCTGCCTAATGGCTGAGATAGTTGGCTATTTCCCCATAAATACCAGAAATTGATGTTCAAATCTATATAAATATAATAGTTTTGAATGCTGATTTTCAGAGACGTAGATTGATGAAGCTTGGTGCAATACAATCATCCTACTTGAATGTTCCCTAATTTGGCCTTATACTAAACAAATTTTATGTAATATAACTTATTTTATGTGCAAAAGTTTCAAACACTTTTTTTTTTTCTTTTTTTTTTTGAAAATTATAAACAGCTAAGTAAATATCAATAATTTAGTCAATAGCTGAGGTAGTTGTGCATTTTCTTATAATGCTATAGATATTTGAATCTGAGATTCTTAATGCTGATTTTGAAGGTGGGCAAGCCTTCTTCAATTTCAAAATTTGCACAATACTTCTTACCGGATATCTCAACTTTGTATGGCACAAGGTCAAAAAGATAAGCTGAGTTAATAATAATTTCAAAAATAGCATTTAAATATAAAAGCAGCTTCTTTGCCTGGGCAGTAATTACCAAGACTACACATATATATAGTGTTTGTTTTTAATAACCCATGAAATGGTGAGGCATAAAACAATTTTTTTATTTATTTATTTGTGATAAGATTTTAGGGGCTTAGCCTGCCTCCAAGTTAGGGAGGTTGCATATTTTCCACCAGGTATAAGAGGTCACTATTAAAGAAAATGTCAAAGTCCAAAATTTTGGTTGCTAATTTTGAAGGCAAGCAGGCGGACTCTCTTCCATTATAAGATTGGTTTTAACCAGTCTAAGTTCAAAAATAAGTTATCAACCTAGCTTAGTTGAACACTATGAGAGATCTAAAAAACAAGAATATTACTTTTGCATAATTTGAATATCTTACCATATACTCAATTCTTGCATATGTTAGAGATAAAATGATTTACAACCATTAACATGCTAGCGTTACAATTACTCTGAATTACTCTAGCAGTTATAATGCTATCATTTTAATGGTTGTGTAGATATAGATTTGGTAGGATTTTCTTTATTGGAATAAAACAAACTCACTGAAGGGTATAAAATAATATATTTTTTTATTTATTTTCTAAGAGATTCCTTTGGTATTCAGTGTAGCAAAAAGTTTGTTAATACGGTGGATATTGGTAGCAGTCTGGAGAAGACCCAGTAGTGTAGTTTTGAAGTCAGATAGAGATAGTAGTAAAATTAGAAATAAGTCAGTGTCAATCTACTGTGTTTTTCTTGGTCCTTAGCAGGACAGATATATCATTAGCAGATGACTTATTAACTGCGTCATACCTGACTGGTTTCTAGCAGTAGTGTCTCCATTTGTCACTCTCACCAAGATTTGAGACTCTGGCATAAACATTGGCTTCGGGTAACATCAAAAGTCTTTGTGTTAATTTTTTTGATTGGCCAAAATTATTTTAATTCATAATATTCCTTTCTTTTTCATAATGGAAATTTGTGATGTCAACAAACACACATTGCCACTTTTGTAATGCCAACAAATACTCATTGTCACTTTCGTAATGTTCGTTGTAGTAGAAACTTTGTAATCGTTGATTACAACTGTAGTAATGCTCTTGAACAATACTGGTATCAGATGCCTTCGAACAGCATTCACATTAATAGTACTTGCTCAATAATACTCAGTTGAATAGTAATCCATATAGTGATCTGAAAAGAGAAATAGTATAGAGAATCGTGGTCTGTATAGTACTAGTGGATAGAATAGAAATAGCAATCGTTAGTTGTCACATGACTTCCTACTTATGCGTTTGCTCATGGTGATCCGTGTTCAAACTCAAGTGTTGGCAGTGATACTTTATTTCTATATAACAAAATTATGCATGGCACTTCCCTGAATTTTGGTATTTTTCAGTTACAAATAAGTAGGCTCTAACCCTGCAAACTTCCGGCATTTTTCAGTCAGGTTCAGTCTTTTCTTCTTTCTCTTTTTATTTACCTCCTTGTTAAGAGAAGTATAGAAAAATAGTTCAGAGAAAGAGATAAGGCGCACTATTTACATTATTCTGACTATTGTCCTCATTTTTGTTGCCATGTTCATCCCAGCGTTTCGGCCGTTGTACACTCCGGCCTTCTTCAGGTGGTTGGAATGTCGAACTGAACCCTTTATTTCACTCACTGGGGTAGACTGTTCTAGTTCCACTTGCCATGTCTAATGGATGTCAGTTATATCCTGTTAATTCCCCACTGGCGACAAAGATGAGGACAATACTCTGAATAAAGTAAATAGTGTACATAATACCTCATCTCAGAAATATAGACAGATACTGAAAGAGATAAGGGCTTTAAAGGAAAATGAGAATGCCTTATTTTAATTTGAATTCCTTTTATTTTTGTTTATATATTTTATTTTCATATTTTATTTCATTTGTTTGTTGCTTTTTTTTTTTAATCGAGACTCATTAGTTGTAAATTTAATGGTTGTAAAATAGGAAAAAACATCCTTTTATTTATTAGCACTATTTAAATTAACAGGTCTTGTTAAAAATAAGGAAGAATTTTGTCCATGAACATTCATTAGACCTTTCTCAAGACATAACATTTAAAAAACATCCATTTTTTTTTTTTTTTAAAATCAACATTTGTCCATACATTTTTATTTACAAATATTAAGTTTGAGTCTGTGTTCTGTCATTTATAACTGCATACTATTACACATTGAGTAAAAGAATAACATCAGCATTACACACTTTTTCATTTTTTTTTTTAAATCAGAATAACCCCTCCAAGCAAGACAACTAAAACACAAGGGTTTACAGAAATCATGGAAGAATTAGGAACAGAAACATTAAATGATGAATAGAAGAGAATAACTGTTAATAATTTATGATTAAAACTGATAATTTAAACTTTTATGTTTAACAGATTCAATGGGGGTTTTTATTTTTACCTTTTTCTTCCAATTTGTTTATTTTTCAGTTTTCTCTTTTGTTAATTCTTAGCATTTCATTGAGTCTTTGAGATCAGATATCTATAAATGCAGACTGAATCCAATTAATAAATGTGTATTTAATCTTAAAACTAAAACCTGTTTTTGCATCTTGATTATTTCTAAGAAAATTGATAAACTCAATAATTAATTAGTAAGCACACAAGCCGTTTAGCATCTACTAATAACTTATTAGTAGCTGGAGAATTTCTTTGAAAATTAACCCAATAACTTATTGATAAGCATTAAATATATTGCTCAGCACACTGTATTTTCTACTTAAAAAGTAGGTTTTTTTTTTTTTACTTTTTTCTTTCTTTCAAAACTAATATTCCACGGTTATTTTCCGTCTCTTTATATATTTTTCATTTGAAGATTTTATTAATATATTGATTCCCTTAACTGGTTAATTTTTATTTTTTATTGAATAAAAAGCAAAAAAAATGTTGAATTGATTTACAAAGTTATCTCTGAATCTATAAATTCAAAATGAAATTTAGTGGTAATTTTACTAATAATGTTAATGTAATTTTGCTGTAAAAAAAAACATTTCATGTTTGTCAGTTTCATTTGTGCTGAGTTTTTGTCTCATGGAAACAACAAAATGCCTGTAAAAAATAGACTTTATTACACTGATGGACATGCATAGATTTCATCTTGCCTTCCTTCTATGTGTTTGTCCCATATAAAGGGTGTTTCATTAAGACGGATCAAAGTCAGCAGTAAATAAATCAGTGTTATTGGTGTAAATTTCTTTATTTCTCTATTGGATCATGTTAAGTCATAGCAATTGTGTGTGAAAAATAATCACTCAAATGTCCGCCAAATCTGAAAGAAAAAGAAAATCGTTAGAAACTTAAACTTAATTCACATTAAAATCGGTCCAAGTTATTGGAACACCCTTTATAATACTGATAACCAATGATAACTGTAATAATGAAATTAGTTGTTTCCATACAGGAAACATTCAATATTCATTGAATGAACAGTCATCATTACTGTCAGTTGAAGTGGAGTAGCAGTTTATTCCTTGTTTCCTGTTTAAGATTGAGTTTCCAGTTCCTTCTAAATTCTACTTCCACACTATACTTCTAATGTCTCCAACTGAACTCTGAAATGTTATTCACTAATTAAATCTTCACCTCTTCAAGTCTACAGTTGGCTGTTGCCTTTTCTACATAGTCCCCCAGAGACTTCACTTCTTTCCCTTTCTTATGCTAATACAACACCACACAGTAACCCTCTACCTTGAGTAGCTCTTTTGGGGGGGGGGGGGATATTTTTCTTAAAAC